ACTTGTTTTAAGCTGTGTCAATGGAAGATCATCAATATCAGCAAACCTAAAAACTGACCAGTACCCTATATTGACAGTAATTACACAATAAAACACCAGCCCCCACACTGAACACTGGGCAAAAAGACACGTATGAAACATTTGGTCTATGACAATTATATATTCACTTCAACATCCAGTAAAGGACAAACTTTAAAATTTGTGTACTCTTTTTACCCATAATTTGAACATTTTTATTTTAAGAAAATACTCATTACAAAAAAGATCAACTGCTACTTACATGTCAAATAAAATTTTTGCACTTTATTTTACTATGATAGTCAAATCACAATTGAATACATTTTTTTAACTGAGACATTAGAATAGCAATACCATCATAAATAAAAAAGAAAACTTCATTCACATTATGAGAATAGAAGATACACATTTCAAATAACCTGTAAGTAGTATTTGAATTACTAAAAACTAATTAAAACTAGCTAAATAAAAAATTGCCTAAATCTGCTCCACATAACCCATTCTTCTTACCTTTTCTAATTCTTGACTGTTAATTTCATGTAACCAACTGAGATGTTCATGCGCTTGCAAAAAATCTGCCAACTGTCCATGCTGAGAAATGGGCTGAGATAATAATTTGCCTCGCTTTCCTTTCTCCATATACCAACGGAAGAGAAAGTCTGAAAAATTCTACAAAAAATAGAACCAAGAATCCAATAATATTTAGTAATATTGTTTAAAAACATAATTTGATCATAAAACATTAAATTTCTTCCAAAGGTTTTAGACTCTCAAACAGAAATCTTGTTTTAAGCACTGATTTCCTATATTGTAGAGTCCTTAAAAATTACCTACTTCAATAATCCCATTTGACAAATGAAGACATTCAGACTTAGAACGGGAATCTTGATCAAGATCATATAGAATCCAGACGTGTGCTGGCCCAATGTGGTAGCCACTGGTCACATGTAGCTGTTTAAACTTAATTAAAATTTAAAATCCAGTTTGTAAATCACACAAGCCACATTTCAAGTACTCGATGGCCAATGTGGCTAGAATTTCCCATTTCAAATGGCAATTACAAGTGAGATTTGCATTATCACAGCAAGTTCTACTGGACAATGCCAAGACTCTGTCATTCCAGAATAAAAGATTCTCGGGGGTAGAATCCTGTGCCAGAGGGCCACGTGGGCTGGCATGATAAATTAGCATCTAGAGAGGACCCCAACACCCAGCCAGTTTTCACCATGGAACATTTGCTGAATGTTGGGATGGTGTGGGAGGCTGGGCTGGAAAAGACGACTAAAATGTCCTACGTCCTCATAGTACGTAAGAGATATTTCCCCTAAAAGGGGACTCTGCAATGAACACATCAGTCCCACAGACTTTGGAAACCAGAAATGAAAAGAATATAACAGAAGTGGCAACCAAGCCCTTGCCCACCTCCATTCCTGATGAACTGAGTGATCTGCCTCTTACCTGCTTTCAAGGGAAAAATCGCACTGATTTCCATCTTTACAGTTCTTTTATATACAATGTCCAAAATACAATGAAACAATTTTAAGACATAAGAAGCAGAAAAACATGACCAATAAGAGGGAACAGAAGCAGACCTAAGAATGATCAGATGTTGGAGTTAGGACAAAGGACTTTAAAATAACTACTAAACATATTAAAGAAAATATAAAAAACAATGCAAAAAATGGATGGAAATATCAAAATATCAATGGAGAACTAGAATCCATAAAAAGAATAAACATCATGATGGGTCCAAAAGTATTACTTCAGCACTATCATAAAATACTGGCTAAGTCATGTCCAAAGTCAGGCACTGATCAGGTAAGTTATATGCAGTCCATGAAATACCATAACGTCATTAAAAACACTGTTGTGGAATATTTAACAATATGGACAAATGTTTGTCATCTATTAAGAAAAATAAGAAGTTTACAAAACATATTTGTCTTTAATAATATAGAGTAAAAAGACTAGAAGAGTATGAACCAAATGTTAAAAAGGGTTTTTCCTAGTGGTATAATTATGAGTGATTTTTTTATATTCTTTTTCTGTTCAAAGGAGTTTTCTGAATTTTATGTAGTCACTTTTATAGCAAGAAAAAAATCAGTTTTTACATTCAGATCAAATGATTGAATACACTGGCTTTAGGAGGCAACTTAAATTCACTTAGTGTCATAATGGGAATTTTTAAAAAAATTGGAAGCATGATAATTGAACAAGAAAAAAAGAATCTTAGGGGTATGGAAATCTGAGCTCTCTCAAAGTAGTATCCTATGCTCCTAAGATCTTCTATGCAAACTTTTAAAACTCTACCAATATTCACATATCTAAGTTCCTTCAATTATAACTAAAAATATAAGAACAGAAACACAAGTTTTAACATATTTTCAAAGGTCAAAGAATGTTTCAGTAATACTTAAAGAATTGTTTGCCAATTTAAAAAGAGCCATACTGTGCAAATTACTCTCTAAGTTAAATATAAAAAGATTGTGTCATTTTCCAAAAGCCCCAGGTAAGATATGAAATGGCAAAGCCTTGCTACAGGCCCCTGCCCATATCCCGCGTCCCTTACATGGTCCTGGAACTGGGTCATGTAGCGCTGGAGTCTGGTCTGGTTGTCAGTCTGCTCACATATTTGGACCAAGATATCAAAGTCACAGTATTTTTCTGCTAATGAAGCAGCCCATGAGTACTGGCCTAGTGTGACTGTGAAAATGAGAACAAATGTAAAAAAAAAATCCTGTTAGTGAAAACTTAATATCTAATAAAAATATTACTTGAAGTTTTGTCTTTATTCATATTATATTCTAAAAATAATTAATGAAATGGAAACCTTCCCAGTTACTGGCATGTAGTTTCATAATCCAAATAAACACATTAGATGCAAATTCAGTCCCTTGCTTCGACGCTGCCTACCTAAGATACTACCCCCTTCCTTCATGTTCTAGCAAAACAAGCTGCTTCTTGTAATCCCAACTGCAAGCAGTGTCCCTTGCTGACCAGCCCCACTCCTCTATGTATGCCTCTGACAGCCTTCATCATGTTCTACTCTGAAGTCTAATTATTCATGTCAATGTCTGAGAAAATAAGCTCTTTGAGGGCAGCTTCCCCATGTAGATTTATTCATTTTTAAATCAACTTCAACATCATCTATGGTACTTACGCCTGGTAAGTTATGAAAACAAAGTTGAATAAATAATGAACACAGAAAGCTAGCCAGAGTTGCTGTGCTTTATGTTCTTGGTTATAGTTGGAATAATAATATTACACTGAAAACGCTACATTAAATGATGTGACTACTTCACTGGTTCTGCACATACAAAGACCCATAGCCCTCACTACATATCATGCACTTACGAAGCGGAGATAAGACATCTGATCTTTTCTGTAGGTATTCCATTTCCAGATTGTTGTATCTTTCTTTATCACAAGACTTGTCCAGAGACTTAAGCTGCAAAACATAACCGTCCAGGAAGCAATCAATCAGCGCCACCAGCTGCTCTGTCAGAGTGTTCCGGAGGCTGCTGTCCGCCTGAGGATAGACCACTCTCAGAACAATTCCATGCTGGCGCAGCACCACTGTTCGGAGGCCAGCAGGACCACCCGTTGCTGTGAAGTCACACAGAATAATACAGTGAGTAGTGGCTGGGGAAAAACCAACTGCCTAGAAATAGCATCACTTCACTGCTGCTGGGGAAAAAAATGTCAAATAAGGGCTCAGGTGGTACCTCTCTCTGCCCTGTTCACACCCTGTGTTCTCCACGGGGAGAGCAGGCTTCCTTAGCAGAGCCAGGTACACAGGACCCTTCCTTCTCCTGAACTCCTTAAATGCTACTCCACTTACTTTCTGGTATTACACCAACATAAAATATGGTCAATACCTCCAGGACCAGTATTGCAAATAAAGTAGAAGTAATGCTTCTACCTGTACTAAAACCTAGGAGATGAATGACAAGTACCGGTGAAACAAATTACAAAGAGATCTATAAATTATCCCCAGGGGATAGAATGATTTTTCACAAGAATTCCTCATCTTGGAGACGGCACACTAGGGGAATAATACAGTCCACAAAAATGATGGATCATTAGAAACGTATTTTGAAAAACTGCTATTAAATCAGTCTATTTGGGATCAGTGCTTCAGTCTCACCTGTCCATGGAATATATGCAGGTTCTTTTCCTAGTGGTCCTTCTCTTCTATACAAGGAGTTCCTATTTTGTCGATAATGACTAGCAGCTTGCAGCATGTCCTGAAAAAAATGAAATGTGTTATCACATGTGAGAAGTGATGAATCCCGGTATTTCCAAAGGTAATTTGAAACACCATCTGTTAGTACAAAAAACTACTCAGCACAGGCCTGGAGGACTACTTTCTGGTTCTTTCTGCATTTGCAATTTGTTTTACTCTAGCATGTAACTTCAATTTTGGAAAATGACAAAATTATAGTAACCAAAGTAGGGAAATCATTACTATATAGTCAATTAGCTAATATTAAATGGAACATTCTAATTAATAATATAAGTAATGAGCTTTTGAGTAATTAAAAAAGAGATTTAGATAGTTACTTTAACATTAATACATTTGCAATGATTTATATATATAAACATATATGTATGTCCTTCTCCAAATAAAAGGTTTATTCTACCAAACCGAACTCACCATTATAGAAACTTTCAACATGCACAAGGCAAAAATGCAAGATGTTTAACTGATTGATAAAATAACTGGTATTTTTCTGCCTTTTGGAATTAACAAATGTCTAAACCTTTATAATTATTGGTGATACAAAGTAGGAATATGGAAACCACTTTATCCTGTACCCACCCCTCTGGGAGTCACCGTATTTTTGTATTTTTGTACCTTGAGAATACTGTTCACATTAATCACCACTTCAGCCCATTCAACTGACTCCAATGACATGTCCTTCAAGACTTGCTCCTCGTGCTCCAGCAAACACTCACATATGGTATCTACCTGGGATACCTGTGGGAGTAGAGAAAAGTCAACTACTTTTAACAAAAATTATAGTGATGGGTATTAATTACAACTGCCCAGAATCTATTCAGTGGGCTTTCTCATTAAATCATGCCCTCAGCTCCTTAGTTGGAGGAAAACAAATTTAAAATCCAAGAAAAGTTAGAATCTCCTAAATTTTGAAAGTTGAAATGTCCAAGTAACCAAGTTTAGTAAGTAAGCAAATTCTGAATTGTTACCAGGTAAATTTTTAAAATACGAAGTAACTGAAAAAGTATGTAGAAATGATTTACTATGGCTATTAGGTTCAGTGCTGCCTTTAAATAGTCCTAGGTTCCAGATGACACCACATTATAATGTAAGATCCCAAACTGATGAACTAATGAACTACTGGATTCAAATAATGACCCAAGCTAATGACTTGCCAATTTTTTTCTTTGAGGAGACATAACATAAAAATTCCTCTTTTTTTACATATGACAGAAATCTTTGTCAAATAGCTACATATAGAAAACAGCTAACTAAATATATAACTTCTAACTGTTCTTTTCTGTCTCTTTTTTTTACTAATTAACACACAATGGTAATGGTGCAAAAATGTTCTTAAGCACTAAAACACTTGTTTCCAACTTCAGCCCATGGCTAAGCTTTTCCGCTTTAGTAATTAAGTGGATATTCACTTAGCATTTAGAGTTTGCATAGCATTGGGCACTCAGAGATAAGAAGGAGAAAATTAGACTCGTTGCTCACACGGAACTTACAAACTAGGTGAAGGAATAAGGCATGCACACACACAAAATGTGGTCCATACAAATAAATCATTGCAAACCTTGTTTTTCCTTTTGTATGTCTGATGTCAGTCAAAGGCATCCTAACAGACCTAGCAAGAAACTTTGACACATTTAATTTTCAAGATTAAATGTAAGGATTTTTTTATATTAATGTGAAAAAGATAAAGCATAGATGATACAAAAGAAAATAATATGAAAGTAAATAAAAAGTCAAAACACTTGCTAAACACCCTTATCATGTGAGTTACATATTCAGTGGTTGCAATTTTGCTGTACAAACATGGTCTGTTTCTTAAGCAGTTAACTGTACTTCATAGAGCCCTGGGCAGTGCCGGGCTACTTCCCAGACTGGGGACGAGGCGGAGAGCGTACCCTCAAGCCAACTCTGTATTATTTTACTTCCCATCAGAGCTGCTAGGTCATATCTCTCCTATATAAGCTCCCCAATTAGACATCTTCTCTTAATATGTTAATACCTGTTGGTAATGTAATTTGTCACTTACAAGTGACGGACAGGTAAAGACAAAGGTACATTTATATGTACCTTTTCCTTATACTGATGCATCCCTTCTTTCCAGCTCCTCTTTCATTATGGCTAAGCCAGGTGGGAGAAGCTTTACAATTTTACCCAAAGGAAGCTTACGACCAGTAAATATCATGGGAAATTAAGATAAATGGTAATGTAAACAGTCCTAAACACAAACATTTTGCACAGAAAGCATTCCTTAGAGGAATTAATCACACTTTGAGTTTTGTTCTGTCGTATTCCTAAGGTACTACTCATGAGTTACATATCCAACTAATAATTTCCAGACCCTTTTTTCCTCGCTAATTGGAAAATGGGCATACACTGAATTAACTAGTATGCTTTGCACTTTTATCCAAATGCAGAAAAAGGAAACAGCCTCTTAATTCTTATGAGTAATTTATCATTAATAACCTAAAAATTTTTGTTTTATCATATAAAATTATGTATGAATAGACAAAAAAAAGTTACAACAGTTTAATTGGTTGGATCATGAAACTTGAGGTGAACTGTTTTTCTTTCATTCATATTTTGGGCATATTTGCTAGATAAAAAAACAAAACAAAAAAGTGCTGTGCTTTATATTCTATAGGGAAAATAAACTAACCCAAATAAATTAAAACAAGGCATACTTCAAACTAAATACATTCATGCATCAACAGAAAACCTGAACATACTTCAATGTCTTAAATTATTTCCAGGTTATAGTATACCGGTTTACTAAGAAAAAGGAAGACTTCTTGGCATAGCTAGATTATAGCTAACTGGAAGAGGAAGGAAATAAAATGAGAGGCACCAAATAGAGTTGAGTTCCCCAAATGCAAAAAACAATTTCAAATTTCACAAAGCTGTGGAAAGACTGACACTTCCTAAAATCCAATGCCACAAAGGGAGAAGGGGACAGTCCTAGTTAAAGGGCTATAAACTCCAGAGGCAACCAACTGGTATGCCTGAAACAGTGCGCTTCCTGCCAGCTCAGAGCTGGGGTCCAGAGTCTCAGCTGGGACGATCAGTCCCTCTGAGTCTCAGCGTCAGCATGTTTAAAGGAAGAGAGTGAAGCGTCCGCCACTTCACAAGGCTGCGAGGCATCGCGCAAGCGCTACCAGTACAGTGTCCAGCTGCTACCCACTGGCCAGCATCTGCACAGAGTTCAGTGATAGTACCGTTCACAGAGGCATGAGCAGGAGCAAGGGGTGGTACGGCGCCTAGGGCGAGCCAGAGAGTGGGCCACAGTGAAGCCCAGGCCTGGAAGGGCACCTGGAGGGAGCAGTTACTGGCAGTGCAGAGAGAGCAGCCAGAGAAGAGCTGTGGTCTCTGACCGCGGGCACAGCACACAGGCGAAGCAGCAAGGAAGGGGGCTGAGGGAATAACCCCTCTGTCCTCTGACCTGACATCGCCTCACCTTCATCAGACCTGCAGGAAGCCAGAGGGCAAGGGGGGCCCACTGGCCAGGAGGCCCTCTGGGGCAGAGTCCAGGGCGGATGTGGGAAGACAGAAGGGAAACACCCAGCACACACAATGGGGAGGCCTTCTTGGTCGATTCTGCAAGCTCTGATTTAAAAGCAGCACATGAGTGACACTTTTGAGTGATAACACCCAGAAAATACAGAGTCCAGTTTAAAATTTCTCTGGGCTCTTTTGTCCTCAATCTTTTTCCCTGCTTGGGGTGGTGAGTAAATGTCACACTTCTTCAAAGCCACATTATGGAAAGAAAGAGGGCTCATCTTACCTCTCTAAAAAAGACATCTGCAGGGGTCAGGCTGGATGGGATGTCACGGTCCCTCTTGTTCAGAGCCATCAGTATCGCTGTGTTCACAAGGCCAGGAAGCCTTGAGTGGTGGCTCTTGAGAACAACAGCGGCCGACACCTTTTCCGCGTGCTCACAGAGCAGCAGTCGGGTCGCCATCGGCAGCCCCCTCACAGGGGACGTGCCCAGACGTCCAAACACACCGATCTTGGGAAGAGATATACACATATTCTTAGAACATATTTACAGTAACACACAAACTAATGTGTTCAGCCAGAGCCAGTGATACCTGTAAGTACAGACATTACTGTTCAAAGATCGGGAGCACCTCGGAGTCTCTGTCCCCTGTGGTTGTCCCTACCTATCTTATTGTTTATGGATATGAAAATGGTAAAACTGTTCTTGTCTATCTACACCAGTTAACTCCCCCAGATTCCAGACTTCGGGGAACCAGAAACCCAGCGGTCTCCGTCTTCCATGATGGAGCCCCAGAGCCCCACAGCTGCCCAGAGGGGCAGGAGGGTCTTTGTGGCACCATCTACCTCTGATTTTGCCTAACATCCCTTTCTGACACATCACTGGATTCTAGGAGTTTCTGGAAGCTTTCTCATTCAATAAAGCATTAGAATTACCTGAACTAGGAGAAAGTCAAAAGACAAACATACACAATGACTACTCTTCTGCATTTTAACTATAACTCATTTCATTAACAAATTACTTGATTTTTTATATATATTAAGGCTTATTTTAAATCTGGAAAAAGTACTCAGTAAAAAAAAAGAAAGCAAAGGGAGCCAAGATGGTGGCATGAGTAATTCAGTGGGAATCTCCTCCCAAAAACATATATATTTATGAAAATATAATAAATACAACTATTCCTAAAAGAGACACCAGTGGACACAGTACAACAGCCAGGATACATCTACATCTGTGAGAACTCAACATCACACGAAGGGGGTAAGATACAAGCCGCGGCCAGT